GCCCCCCAGGGCCTTTTTTCCCTCTCCAAATTTATTTTCTTTTCTTTTTGGCTCCAGAAAGCCCTCTTACCACTATTTCAGAAAATCAGCCACAATTTCCGACTCTTCTCAAGAAACACACAAAAGCTGTTGAACATGTTCTAAAATGGCACTTCACACCCTCCTGCAAAGAATTCACAAACATCCACTCTCCCAACCCTGGGGGGGAGGAAGAAAATGTGTCCCAGCACATTTGACACCGTTGTAAATATTTCGTGCGGCTCAAGATTAGTTAAAAGTTGCCAGCCTCAGCTTTGTAACCACAAAGGAAGGTCCCAAAATCTAGAGAGACTATTTTTCATAAAATATTATGTTTTTCTCATTATGCAAATCATACGGTGAGTTGCTTAATCAACCTCTCCCCAGTTTCTATGACGTGATGCGCTTGGAAATCATATCGCATGATGAATGTCACAGCCTTCAGCCTGACTCGACTGCTGTTTGCATCTGAAAAAAAGGTTGTGTAAGGAAACACCAGGCTGCATTAATAGGGAAAGAACATATGAAGATTTGAGAGAAGGCAGCAGCCAGGTTGTAGCTCAGCCAAGCGCTGCTCCTGTACATGGAAGTTCTACTGGACTGCGACTACCTGCTATTGTTTCTCCCTGAGTTCGGTTTCTCTTGCAAATTCCTGCCATCCCCACACACAGTGGCAGTGAGTTCTTTATTTAGTAATAATAATTCTCGATGAAATACTTTATTTGGCAGTTGCTTCAGCACAGAAAAAATAAGTTACTTCTTCATATATACTTTAGTGGGAACGTTCTCCTTTCTTCGGGTAGTAAGCACTATGGTTGCCCACTGATCTGAGTGAACAAGGATAACATGCCACATTTCTGAGGACTGCGATAAGCAGAAGCCACTTTTTCACAGACGTGGAGGACTTCCCATCGAGTGAATCTTAGAGGCAGAGCTGCAGTGATCGGCTAGAAAGTGGGCAACCATGTTTTATGAGTTTTACATTTGTTCCCTTATCAGGGGGCAGAGGGGAATAAAAAACATGTTAATGGGAACCCAGCCACCTCAAGAACATCTAAAGAAGTCTCCTTTTTCAAAGTAAGTCTAAATCCTGCACAGGCGCGTGCACAGCCCAGCTGTGGGTTGCTACAGCATTCAAAAGCCGGGCGAGGGGGGCACCTTGGGCATGCAAATTTTATGCAAACCTCATGTGCAAATGCCTCGATTAAGCATGCAAATAAGCCACAGCCTCTGGCTCCTGAGGTGTTTCCATGGCGGCCCTCCGCTGCAGCGGGCGTGATGCGCTGGGGCTCGGAAGAGGGGGGCAGGCCGGATCCTCCCCCCACCTCTCCCCAAAGATCTCACCTGCCTTCAGCAGAGCATTAATATCTGCAGGCTGATGTGACGTCATCCAAAGTTGGGCAGAGAAGCCTTCGGAGCGCAGCCGAGCCAAAACGTTTTCCCTCTCGAGCTTATTCTGTAAGCAGAGAGATGCACCCTCCCTCCCAGTTCCTCTGGCATAGAGCCCTAGCTCCTCAGGGAAACGCTCTCCTCTGACGTGCGAGTTTCCTACAGGGAAAGAATTCTACCGCAGGGAGGAACACCCAGCCGAATCTCAGTGGACGCAGCAGCCTGAGACGCCTCTCAAGTTTCAACCCAGGCTGGAAGCTCCTTTTTCCTTCCACCAGAGGCCAAAGCTGTGCCCCACCCCAGGGCACAGCCCAGCCTCTACTAAAGGGAAGCCCCCCTCCCGCAATCCAGATCTTTCTGCCTTTCTCTACCCTGGAAGAGTTTATTTTACACCCAACCGCACAACGAATTCCCAAGCAGCTTTTGGAAAATCCAGATCCCTAGCTGCAAAAAGAGACAGTTCCCGTCACCTTCTCTGCGTGTAGCGTGTAACACGGTAGCAACGGAGGCTTCCTGAGGCTGAGGTCCCACGGCACCCCTGATTCATCTGCTCCAAGAAGGGGAAACCCAGACGCGGCCCCTGGAAGGAGGAATGCCTGCTTCCTGCCTCCGCTGGGCTCAGGAGCCGGCAAGGATAAATATGCACACATTTAAATCAGCTAACATATGCAAATAGGCAAGGTGGCAAGGCTGCGTGTTGGACAATAGGCCGTTTTAAAAACATGCATACATTTCTATGAATTAACAGATGCAAATAAACACAAGATTCCCCCCCCCCCCCGCTTCCTATTCTGAAGAAGGCTGGAAAAGCTGAGCTTCAGAATATTTTAGAAAATTGCACCAAATCCAATATACGCATTCTGAGAAAATAAAGTTAGGATTGCATGCTGTTTCCTTTTCAATATGCCAATCCTAAACATATTTCCTGAGAATTAAGTTCTCACTGAGCATAGAGGGAGGTCTTGCTCAGCAAACACATTTAGGATTGCGGGGTTAATATATGACTTTTCCTTGAACTGTCAAAAAAGGACATGCCCTCCAAAACTCAGAAAAAAGGCAGAGAGCAGGAATATAACCATTCTGGGTACATCAGCTGAACTGCCTCCCACTTTCAGAAACCCCGGAAGGATCACATATTAGGTGAGAAGCTTCCAACCGCTCTTGCTCAACGCGTATTTCGGACCCGCTTAACTTGGAAACTAAGCAGGCTGAGACAGACCTGGTTAGAAATGGATGGGAGATTTGCAGGAGTTGCAGGCTAGACTTGACAAATGGAAAAACAGCCTGGAAGAATTCAACAGTAAATCACTTTGCCAAGAAAACTGAACTGGCATGTCCATGAAGGCGCCAAGATCTGAGTTCGACTCAAGGGAGTCCTTATACAGCCTGTGGCCCACTAGAAGAGCGTCTTGCTTTCTCCCAAGCTTTGTTAAGAGATCTGGGGAGATCTTTTAATGCCTTCCTGACATCATGGTTCATTATTTTCTCACTGTTGATCAGGAAGCAAGCCCTCTTCCACCTGGAATCTAGGCCATATCTTGATTTCTTCCCCAGTTTGGTACATTTTGGATCTGGGATGGGAGACCACTAGGAAATCTCAGGGTCGGAGGCTAGAATGGGAAGCTGGAAGAAAATATGCCAACATATACCAAATATGCAAATCATTTCTGTATTTTTGTCTAGAGAAGTGTGTGGCTGCATCCATACAGCCATTAGGAATCCAGCTGGACATGGATCACCAGAGTTGAGCCTGGCGAAGGGGATTTTGCATGCTGTCATTGCAACAATTTAACATGGCCAACACACACTTTTGAAGAAGTTGGTTTTGCATTCATTTTATAAGCAGGAAAACAGATAATTTAAATAATTTATCTGTCACTTTTTCAATACCTAAAGCATTCCACCAGGATGATTTTTAGAAGACAAACTCTTTAGTAAATCAGTCGTAGTATTATGGATTGGGAGACGGCTACTAACAGCACCACAGACTGCAAGAGGAACAGTTGGTCCTGGATCACATAAACGATGCGATGATCCCCAAACAGACATTCACATACTTTGGTCACGGGGTGCACATGGACGGTGGTCTAGAAGAAATGACCACAGCAAGACTGAGGGAGACAGAAGGGGAAGGCGACAGTGGACGGCCCTCAGCATTTATCCATGGAGTTGCTAAGAGCTGAAGCCACTCAGTAGCACTTACGCAGCTCACACTCTCCTCACCGTAAATCCTTTTCGGACTTGATAAATGCTAGTTATGTTACAGAGTTAGCACTGCATGAGATCATTAAAAATGGTCTGCGGATAGGTTCCCATCCTTTTTCATGGGGAACAAAAAAACTGCAGGGTGGGCTATAAAAATAGGCATCACTCTGCAAAGCACGTGCCCAAGACAAAGGTTAATCCCCCCAACCCATAAAAGGAGAAGATCCTTGCTCTGCCTCTACACATGATGCCACTTTGCCTACGTAGCATCCCCAGCTTGTCCACTGTGGCTTTTGCCTCTCCATCAAATATAAAAGGTGGAGTCACAAAAAGGCTGCCTGTGCCTAGAGCAGGGTTCTCAGCCTTGGCACCTTGTAGAGGTGTGGACTTCAACTCCCAGAATTCCCCAGCCAGGATCTTAAAGTTGCCAAGGTTCTAGAAGTCAAAGAGGGGAAGGATAAAAAATGTCAAATACTTCCACTTGCAGATACGTTGAGCTACAAGTCCTGTCAAGCCCAGTCAGAGAAAGATCATTTTTCTCTGCTGCTATCAGAGAAAATGGTCAGGAGGATGAAAGGCAGCGACTGGTGAAATCCTTGTCTGATGGAATTCCCTGATCCTGGGTAGTTTTAGAAGAGGCGCCAAGAGGATGGAAGAGGTGGCCTTTCATCCCCATCTTCCTGCTACAGGTTGATCCAATTTCACTTGTCCCCTTGCAAGCTTGGACTACCTGTTTTCTACTAATTTCCTGGAAGAGCCCCCCCACCAGCTTCCCCAGTTTGCTCTAACCAGATGTTCTCAGCCACAGTATATCGGTACTGCGTGAATGTGCCTTCAAGAATCTTGATTCCTGGCGACTGCCTGGACAAGCCCCTGTAGTTTTCTCGCCAAGATTTCAGAAATGGTTTGCCCTTGCCTCCTTCCTAGGGCTGAGAGAGAGTGACTGGCCCAAGGTCACCCAGCTGGCTTCATGCCTAAGGCGGGACTAGAACTCACAGCCTCCCAGTTTCTAGCCTGCACCAAAGTGGCTCTCCTACTGATAACAGGCTGGGAAGTTATACTGATTGTACTGTATTCCCTGGTTTACGATCAGCTCCTACTTTATTCACATTTCACAAAAATCTCAAAAATAAGGGATGTATTTTTTTAGAAGAGGGTTTGAATTATGATGGCTGCCATTGACTTGTTTAAATTATTTTTGTTCTTGTTTTTCCATGTATTTTATTATATGCATACTTTTTTTTTCAAGTTTTACCTTAATTTTATTAATATCATGGACATTTTAATGCCACTGATTTTGCCATTGCATGCCATCAGGTGTTATTTGATGATGATGGTGGCCAACATATTTAATAAATAGATAGATAATAAATAGTAGCACAGTCTGGAATAGCAGTTTTTAAATTCAACCTTATGTCTTCCAAAAGAAACGTATCAAATCATTAAAACAGAAATCCTGACCCAGCAGGATTCTTACATCTCTTTAAAAAAAAGTTTAAAAAGTTAAGAAAAGGGCCCCTTGGTCTGTATCTTCCCTGTTAACATGCCTTAACTGATGCTGATCCCATCACCCTCATCTCAAATACCAGCTTCTGAAAAGCAAATAAAACTCCTATTTTCTCAACTGAGATTATATTCGTAAAAATCAAAAGACCCCGACAAGACAAACCTCCCTTTGAATCAGGGCAACTCAAAAGTAGCAGGTGCGTTTTGTGGGTGGGAAAATAAGCAGCGGATCTCATTTGATCTCACGGTACAGGTCTCGATCCCACACGCCTGTCCAGCAGTCAGCTCAGGGGATGCCAACTCCAGCTGGCTGGGAAGCCTGGGAGCTGTAGTCCCCCAAATGAGGAGGGCGCCGGGCTGCAGAAGCCTGGCCGGGCTGGCCCTTTGCATAACGCCCCTCTCCTCCCCTCCAGCGTAGGGACCGACCGGCTCTCGCCCCTCTGCCGCCCGAAGCCGCTCTTCGCGCCACGCCCGGAGCGAAAGTCCCCCCAACTCCCCGGCGGCTGCCCAGCCAGACCTTCTCG